AACGTACCGAATTTAGATAGACTAACGTGTGCCAACTTTTATTGAAATCGGTTCAGATTTAAATATAGCTCCCATATGTTCGTCCGATTTTTCGCAAATGGTGCACCAAAGATTTAAAGTGTGCCCGATTGGCACAACATTACGCGCAACGTATCGAAATGGGTCTGAGTTAACCGTTATATTTGTGCTATTAATAATTTGCATATTAATAATTTTTAGTGGAGACATTTGGTACGTGGACCGATAAAACTAATCTTCGGACCTGCAGACAAGAGACAACTTTATGCAAAATTTTGGCGATCTATCTCAATTCGTTTATTTTGGTGGAAGCTGTGTCTACTTTAATGTACAAAAATGTGTAAAAACAGGTTGAGGCGAACCAGTTTTTTTATGTTCTCTATCGATTTGTGACTAAGCCACTCATTGCACGGCCTTCGTGTCCAAATAAAACTAGAAGCCAACAAAATGGGGACTACGCCCCTTATGTATCAATTTTCAAAATTTTAACTGCATCTACCTTTAAATGATGCTGACATTTTGAAGCTCGATTTTGAGTGTTTTTTGAATTTTACTTCGAGGTTAAGTACGCAAACAGGAATTTATAAAAATCGATTATAAGATTATTGTAGTCGCGAATCTGCGTAATTTGATATGTATTTTGTGTATGTAGTATGCACAGCTTCAGAGTAATACTCATCAGAAGGTGCGAATTTTGTGCGATCAAATTTCTAAAAAACCTATTTTTCGGTCCAAATTTTTAGATCTGTCAACTGAATGATATGGGTACCCGCGATCAATAAGGTTTTTTACGTTTCGGATGATATAAAATCTTCTTCGTGAAAATCCATCTACTAGAACGGCGGGATCTGGCCTTCCAAAAACACGAAATTTGGCAAAAAATGTTTTTGAAAATATCGCGGATTTATTTGCGTTTTCTGTGTATCATTTCCGCTTCAATAAATGACCTCATACGGATTTTCATCTTGTTCGAAAAAAGAACTTTAAAAACTTCAGCCGAAAGAGTGATGTACGCAATTTATCTCAAAAATAGATTGTGCTGGCACATCCATGGTTCTTAATGGACCACATTGAAATCGGTATAGATCGATGTATTTTTTTAGGGTGCACACCGAAATCGGATGCGCGTTAATGGCATATGGAGTTTTCGAAAATTATTCGCGTTTTACGATTTTTTGGGTACTTCAATGTAACGTGTGGCACATCTTAGCCGTCAAATGAAATTTCGCAAAATATATATGGATTGGAAGATAAACTTCAGTACTTCCCGGAAACCGCATGCGCATCAAATGAATTTGTGAATTACGCGATTTAGACGCAATTTATCTCAAAAATAGTGTGAGCTGGCACATCCATGGTTCTTAATGGACCACATTGAAATCGGTATAGATCGATGTATTTTTTTAGGGTGCACACCGAAATCGGATGCGCGTTAATGGCATATGGAGTTTTCGGAAATTATTCGCGTTTTACGATTTTTTGGGTACTTCAATGTAACGTGTGGCACATCTTAGCCGTCAAATGAAATTTCGCAAAATATATATGGATTGGAAGATAAACTTCAGTACTTCCCGGAAACCGCATGCGCATCAACTGATTCTGAGAATTACGTGATTTACACGCAATTTAAATAGTATATTTCATAATATTATTTTATTTTAAGATTTATCCTATTTATAGAATTCTAAGATTTATCGGAAGGGTCTTGATATAATCCGCAAGGCGTATACTTATACACAAAAAGTGATTATTATTATATATGTCAATTTTTCGGCGAAATTCGGGTAAAATAGCAGAATAACCCCAACATTTTTTTCTGAAATTTCTTGTATACAATTAAAAAAATAAATATTATGACATTATTTTTTCGAACCAAAAACAAATATTTTTCCTCAATATCTTGTTTTGTTGTCGCTGTGAGTTAGAAACCGCTACACGGACTGGTGTGATTTTGATATCATTTGATTCATCACGGTGTTTAAATTATGTAGAAATTTTTAAATTAATTTTTAGGTGTGTGTATGTCATTAATATAATGAAAATATTTATGTAATCTCCTATATTTTCATTATTTTTTTAATATTTCGCGAAGATGTGCAACTTTTTCGCGATTATTATAATATATTCATATTCTTATTTTACGGAGGAAGATATATATCAACGTTTTTGGTCAATATAACAAACGGCGTAATTTTAAGATTTTTTTCTTATGCCCAAAATTAAAACCTCGATAACTTTTGCGCGCATCAACCAAAAATTTGATCGCGAACGGTTTCGGAGTCAGAAAATTTTTCTCTATATGTGTACCAAAAATCATTGATGTGCCACAAAAACAAAAACGCTGATTTTTTGAAAATGGAATATTAAAAAATTGGCAATATTGCCCATATACTTTATACAAATATACCCGGTTATAGATCGTTGGGTTAAGTCGGTTCATATATAGACACAGATCACATATTTAACATAGTCGAATTTCATATCACTGGTCTTGAATATAGCCAAAGTGGTAAAGGGTATCATATAGTCGGCCCCGTCCGACTTTACTACTTTCCTTACTGGTTTTTTGTGGGGCTATTTTAAAGCTCGTGATTATACAGAGAAGCCTGCATCAGTTAACATATTGTAAAATATCTTGGAAAGAGCATGCCAAAAGTGGACATTTGTGTCAGCATTTGCATTAAATAGTCTTCAAATATTAAATTATATGGACCGTACTATCGATTCAACTAATTTGCAATAAGATATTTTGCAATCTAACTAAAAACTTTGTTCCCGGAAAATATCATAAACGCCATTGGAACATGGGAATTAAAGTACCCAGACATCATAACCCGATTCAAAAGTCATTGAAGACTTCGTCCTTCGATAAATCAAAATATTCATATACTTTCCAAAAATATGTTATCTTCCTTCACCATTGGAAATTCTCTCTACTAGAACTTGCATTAATGAAACTTGCATTTTTATAGCTGTTTTTTTTTTTTCATATCAGGCGTACATCAGTAATATGTTGAGATGGCAATGCCTTTGGTCCTAACATAATCGCTTCACTCTAGCCTGTTTTTCACCGAGACTTCTGCAGTAAATGAGCTTGCATACAGTATTTCTTCTATAAGAACTACAAAAACTTTAGTTTTTAGAAAGTCGTCACAAAAAGGCTCCAACAGAAAATTTTATAAAAAGTCGCCAAGGGTGCAGCACATCTCCCAGAGCTCCAGCTTTTAACAACCGCCAGTAATAGAATCGTCACTAGATAAAAAGTTTCCTGGAGGCTTAGATTTTCATTCAGCTCTTGTGTTCTTGTTCATTCGGCTCTTGAGTTTGTTTCCCAATTTAAATTTTATTTGAAATTTTATACTGTAAATTTCTTAAAAACGATTAAATATAAATAGTTTGTTTTGAGACTTGAAGTGGATTTTGGCGTAGAATATTTTATTCTTTGACATAATATACCTAAAATTAAGTTTCATGTTATTTTAATGCACTTAGTCGAAAAAAATACTGGGAAATGTCTTTGTAAAAAAATGCAGAACATTTTGAATGTTTTGTTCAAAATGTATGACTATATATTCGGTATATACATTATATATACGAATTTCTCTTGTTCAGTGACTTATGCTAAAATTTAATGGAGAATATTTTTGTTCTTATACCATCCTTCTAAAACATAATATTGTGGGAAAAATGGGTAATAACTACTAATAAGTACGACATTAACCCTAAAATTAGTTTTTGTTTTTTTTAAGATTTTTAACATTTAGGGCTGATATTTGAGTTTTAGTCTATTCTGAGACTTATAGTAAAACTTTATAGCGAACATTTCTGTAGAATAATCTGAGCAGCTTTAACTCAGTTTTGAATGAGTTTTCAATCATTCCTGGAAAAAAAAATTAATGGAGAATATTTGTGTCCGTTATACCATCCTTCTAAAACGTAATCTTGTGGGAAAAATTGGTAAAAACTAGTAATAAGTACGACTTTAGCCCTAAAATGAGTTTTTGTTTTTTTTTTAAGATTTTTGACGTTTAGGGCTGATATTTTAGTCTATTCTGACCCGATTTAATGAGTTTTCAATCACTCCTGGAATAGTTTTAGTCTATTCTGAGATTATAGTAAAACTTTATGGCGAAAATTTCTGTAGAATATTCTGAGCAGCTTTAACCCCGTTTTCAATCACTCCTGACTTACATTGTGGTATAAAAAGTTATTTTTTGTAAAGAAGTTATTAAAAATTGTTTGGGGGGAACCCCTAATAAAATCCGAAATATTCTTCCGTGTCTCACCCTTTGGTGAACAATGCTTTATAAAAAAACAAATTGGGATTACGCCTGACCATCATCACTTATTAAAAATTGCCGTATACAATTGATGAAGATTTAGAGTGCCAAATGCGAAATGGGCACAGAATTTTCTCCAATATTAGCATGATCAAATCAAGTCACTGTTAAAAAATTAAATTTTTTTATTAATATAGAAATTTTTAACTTAAAAAAATCTTCGCATGTTGCTGTTAATCTCTAACTCACACCTTAACTATTTTTTTATAGTTTTATCCATTATATCCATTGTGCGATATAATTAATGCTGACAAATAATGGTTTTAATATACAACTTTTTAAGATAATTTTTACAACTCAGCATGTATTCGAAAACAAATATCTAGATTTTTTTTGAGCAATACAAAATTCATTAGTTTAGGTTCATTGGAGACACACGATCATTTGTCATCATACAAATCATTTGCATTTTCATTATTAACTAACCAAAATAAAATATTGAGGAAAACACAATAACTTTGTAATCAATTTACAATATTTATTTATTTTTTGTACCGTAAACTATATTTGTTTATTTTTGTTTTCTTTCATTTAATTTTTTCTTTTACAAAATGTACCCAACAACAACTACAACAATTGCAAAACAACAATTAAATAAAAAATAAATTCCAAAATATCAATCAAAATCACTTTAAAATTCAGGCTGTTAACACAAATACACGTAATCGAAGTCTTGGTCGTATGAGAAGGCAGCCGCCCCGTCATGGTATTGGTAAGTTTTTGTTGTTTTTTCTTACATTTCGTATCAAATTTAACTCTCTTTCTTGTTTACATACACACACACAAATATCAAATATTTGTTATATATTCCTTTCACTATTTAAACATTGTTTCGCAATATGAGTGTGTATTTTTATTTAATTTTTATTATTGCCTTTCATGTCTTCAATGTTGTAATTATCCCTTCACAAAAAACACCTTAATTTTCATATTTCAATTGCACATTTTGTTCTATATATATTTGTTTTTCATTAATTGTTTAAATTAATTTTTTATTTTTAAAAATTAAAATGTATTCAAATATTCAATATTCATATGTATATGGTGCATGTTGCAACATGTAAATGTTATCGATGTTTAAGTGTGACAATATCTCAAAAAACAGCTGTAAAAATATTTGTATTTATTTTTATATCAGCTTAGTTGCAACATGCATTATAATTATAAGAAAACTTAGTTGTTTATAAAACAAAAGAAATTTCCCAAATTATCCAGAAGGTTCTTAAGAAAGATTTAAATTTTGTCCCTATAACTTCTTTGAAATATTTTGGGCCAAATAATCAAATAAAACGTATAAAACGATAACCTTGAAGCTAAGCAAATATCTCATTGGCATTATTTGTTTGTTAACGTCTGCCCACCAAAACATTTATTGGCAATCCTTATATATTGTATTTCATTTATTTATTATTTGGCTCTAAATATTGCTATATGTGTCACAAAAACTCCTATTCACTATTTCCTCAATCAACAAACACCTTGCTTTCGATCACAAAATTTTTCTCTCAGTGTTAGTGCCCACATGTTTCGACCACTACAACCATTTTAGAAAAAAAAAATTCTCACGAAACAACATGTAAGACTATTAGACATAGCAAATAATATACAGAACCTCCATAGTATTTACTTCAAATCAATATTAAATTTCTTAAGTTAAATCAAGTGAACCTATTCTTCCTAGAACATTTCAGTACCCTACACCGGCAAACAAGACATACAAGCATAAATTTAAAAGTCGACAAATTCCATTAGAAGACATATTATGTTTTTATATATTTTTTGGAATCGGTGGACAATAACCGACCGATTTTAGTATTTTTTAATTAACCCACAAAGCCTATAATATATATATATATATATATATACCCTTCACCACACTATGGTACGGGGTATTATGTATTTGTGCATATGTTTGTAATAGGCAAAAATAATCGAGATAGACCCATGGTTCCTTTTGAGAATATGCATAGAATCACTTTCTGAGTCGATTTATGTATGTCCGACTGTCCATCCGTCCATGTATTTTTGTGAACAAATTCCAGGTCGCATTTATGATCCGATTTGGATGAAATTTTTCACATGTCACTTATTTGGCCCATTGAAATTGGAGCAAATCGGTTCAGATTTAGATATAGCTCCCATATATAGTTTCGTCCGATTTAATGTAAATGGGGTACCAAAGTCACTATATATCTTTCGATTTGCACGAAATTTGGTACGGCCTACTGAATTAGGTCTAGAATGATGTGTGCTTAGTTTCGTGAAAATCGGTTCAGATTTAGATGTAGCTCCCATATATAGTTTCACCCGATTTTAGGTAAATGGACGTACGCAGGCTTCCATACGTACGTCCATGGCTTCCATACATAGTTTCGTCCGATTTTAGGTAAATGCTGCACCAAAGTCTCTGAAAATCATTCGATTTGCACGAATTTTGGCATAGCGTATTGAATTAAGTCTAGAATGAGGTGTACACCTTCTATATATATTTTCGTTCGATTTTAAGATCCACAGCTAGGTCGATTGACACAACGTACTGATATTAATATAAATTACTCTCTGGCAAGTTTGTTTCAAATCGGTTCAGATATAGATATATCGTAGCTTCCATATATAATTTCGATTTATTTATGTTAATTGTAAACCAAATAATCAATAGGTGTCTGATGGAGATTAAATTTTAAACAGTGCAGCATACCGAATAGCGTGATTCAAGTTTGATTTAAATGGATTTACACAAATCTGTCCCACTGTGCGCAAACGACTCTAAACTTGCCCAAATGAAATGAAATTTAGGATAGATTCCATAAAGACATAAAAATCACATATTTAAGTTCGTTCAATTTTATGTCAAAATTTCTTCAAAAAGGCGGCGTCTTTTCGGATACAAATGTAGAATATACCCAAAGTGGTGAAGGGTATCACATAGTCGGTACAGTCCGACTTTACTACTTTCCTTACTGGTTTTTAAATGAAAAATATGGATCATTGTTGTTATACCCTACATCATATGATGTAGTGCGAAATATATTATTGCACAGACGGCAAAATTCTATGACGGCATGAATATTCATGTCCTGTAATATTAAGGAATGTTGCAATTGGCTCACATAACTGGAATCGGCTAACACCTGATGATTTACCATTCCGAGTCCAAAATTGGTCCCTGTCCGTAAGGAAAAATATTTTTCTCGCGGATTGGTTCCTCCGATTATGAATAACTTGAGACGAAATATATGAAATAAATACCCTTTCTAGCACCTTCTGTACCACCCTCGCCAAACTTCACTCAAAATTCTGCTATATCTGCACTCAAATTGATATAGCAGGCTATGCTACCCAGTTTATTATAACATTTTGTCGAAAAAAATTCATTCTAATACAAGTTTTATTTGTAGATGCCCACAACATTTGACCCCATATTCGGAAATTTATATCCAAATGTACGGCTTTGAAATTTTAGATATTTTGGCCTTCCTGTTACATTTACAAACTATTTGTTTCCAAATAAATAAAACCTTTTCAAATTATCGATCAGCATTTTTATATTATTGTACTTCCTCTTCGAAAAAAATAAATTTTAGTCTAGGTAAACAAATACAATATTATTATCCTTGGAATGTTTCCTACCTTTTACTTAAAGAAAGCATAGAAAAAACAAAATAGACATGCAAGCATATTTGCTTGAATTTTCTCAAAATATTGTGAATGATTTTTTTTATTTCATTTTCATTGTCCTTGACTTTTAATTAATTACAAAAACTATATAATTTTCTTAATACTAAGATTTTTACTAACTTAACAAAAAAAAAAAAAAATTATTTATACATGATTTAATGTGTGTTCCTTTCCACTAATAAATTGATATGAAATAATTTGCTATAAACAAACATTTTTTATATGCTTTGTCCCATTACCATTTTGTTTTTTGTTTGTATAGAGATGAGTCCCGAGGAGAACAAATACCATAATTACAACAACTATAATGAAAACTTCATATTTTCTGGAGGTAAAACTTCTACATCATTCTATTATACATATACTAACTACCTACAACTAATTAAAAAGTACATACTAACATCATGGGGAACCCTAAGAATATAACTAGGTTTACACATATACTAACAATATGATGATATTATTTCATTCATTCATTCAATCATCCAGTCCTAGAAATTCATACTTTTCATCATGGCAAGCACTAACCAACACTAATCAATCAATCATTCTTTCATTCCAAGACTATCGTAACACGAATCTATCATCCTAATCTGTTCATCCATTTGACCTGTTTTATGTGACCATTTTTATTATTTTAAATATTTTAGAAAACTGTAACCGTTTGTGTGAGATTTAATTTTGAACATACATTTTCAATATACCCAAATTTAAAAAAAAAAATAATATTTTTCCATATATTTAAGAAAATATATTGTGGCATTATACCACTTTTCCATTTCTTATTACTATATAGTTTAAAGAAACTTATCTTTACCTATGGTCAAGTTAAATCTCACAATTCATGTCCCTTTTAGCTTACTAAAGAAAAAGAAAATAAATATTCTCTCTTGTGTTTTCCTTTCATTTATATTCACTTATTTATCTTTGCCTTTTATGGCAATATTTGTTTCTTTTTCGTTTTATTTTTTCCAGTAACTCAACAACACCGTTCCAATAGTCCACAACACTCCAGTTCGGCCTCATCGCCTGTTATGTCAAATAGTAGTTCTAGTCCAGCACCACCATCCAGCAGTCCATCACCGCAAGAGAGCCCCAAGAATTGTAGTTACATATATCGTGATTGATTGATCACTAATACCAAATCAATGCCACTAATCAAAACAACATCCAACAATACAACAACAACAACCACAACAGATGCAAATGCAGCAGCAACAGATGCGGTGGCAATCGAAGCAGGAACAAATGATGCCACTAATGCTGAAACTGCAATCACCACAGCTAAAACCATAGACGAGCAGAGATCTGCCGCAACAATGCCACTTTGTAAAACAACTACAACAACAAACAACACTGCCAAAAAAACAAACGAACAAACAGCTAAAACTACAACAAAAACAACAACTACAACTAATCATAATAAATTAGAAATGAAACGTAATAGACATAGACACCACAACAGCCATCACAACAACACCAGCAACAACAACACAAACAGTAATCGAAGACATAAAAGCTCGTTGGTTAAATCCGTTCCTGCCACACCTGTACAAGTAAATCCCACAACGAATCATTTTGTGCCATCCTCAACTGATTACAAT